CTGAAATACTTAGCGGAAATTACATTTCGTTACGTCAGATTTATCTGCAACGGGGCACTGATAAGACAACAGCCGAGTTCCAATTCGCTAAGCTGGAAACCAACCATATCCGTCGCTAATGCATTTTACGATTCACTTTAACCAACTTAGCGAGTTCAAGAACTTTCTAGAACTTTGGCCTAGGGTCTTCACCTTCTGAAGAATTCAATCGGAAGGATTTCGGTACGCGCTGAATTAGCCTTGGAATGTTTTTGAAGTGTGATACTGCCATTGCATGGGGCTAATCATTTCCTGAGTGTTCTTTCCAGCATCCTGTCAACAAGAGGAAGCTGTTCCACTTGTGCGTTCTTTTTGTACACTGCAGTGCAGCACTGGGAATTTCAGTTGCAATGAAAGCTTGGAACCGTTGGAATGTCTGTCTTCTTTACACTTTGATAGTGACCATTCTGGCGCTCTTATTTTCACAACGTTATTGGTAGGACGCCGATTTCCATTTCCATGCCATCAGCCGTTGAGAAGTTATTTTTAAGGCATATTGATAGCGGCTTCCTGACAGACAGTTGTGCAATCTTCTTTTATCTTTCCCACTGTCATATTCGTCTATGTGCCTCAAAAAAAGAAAGAAGGGCGAGTGACCCTGAAAGGGACTCGATGCCCGGGACTCTCGGCTCTAAGTGTAACCCTCTACCCTCTGAATAACCCCGGTCTTAATGAATGTGTGATGAATTCCTTTCTCAAAATAGAATCTGAGGTTAAGATCATCGGCGGAATCGAATACGGTACCTCCGAGTTCGAAGCAGACCTCTTAGGCACTGACTGTGCCACCATGCCATTGTGCCACTGCGATGAATGCTGTGATGGTTCTTTCATCCACGTCAGTTAAGGGCTCAATATTCGCTATCAACCTCCGCGCTCCTTTATTTAACCTCGCTCTGTACGTCGCGGAGAAAGAGCAACAGTTGATAATGCATCACGAGGGTACTTGCAACGCTGATAATGACAGTCGACACGGCAGTGATTTGCGGGCTTAGCTCAGTCCAGAATATTTAGTCCAGCTGTTCTGATTCTTGGAGACGCAATCTCTTTGTAAACGTGAACAGGGCAGTTCGGAGACACCTCGTTGATCACTCCAGAAACAATAGATAGCATAAGTTTATCATAATATTTCAACCTTCTAAATGGAGGATGATCCACAACTGGCTTGGCCTAAAAAAAGCCTGGACTACCAGTCCGAGTAACATAACAAACTAGACACCGACGAACGCTGTTTATGCGACTTCGATGGGCAAAACCGGATGAATGGAACACAAACACCTTAGTAAAAGTTGTAATCCTTCCGAACAGAGAATACTATTGCTCAATGGATGCGTTACTCGAATTCACATGATGGCCTGTAACATGTCTAACACTCATTGCGGCTGGTGTTGTAGCACTCAGTGCCATGTGGTAGTCGCACAAACGTTCGTTTCTTTAGAATTAATAATACACAGCAACGGCGATATGGCGAACTCGACATATCACAAATTTTTACTAATCTTAAAATTTAATGTCGCTCTTAGCAAATTCACCAACGGGAGTCTGAAGAACAGAAAAAACTGTATTTTAAATAGTTGATTTATTCATGAACTAGTTAGAGTGCAGATGTTTCGGCTTTGTATTATGAGTTTAGTTATTTCTTGCTGCACTCAGTACTTTTTATGATTGTAAATTGCGATGAGGTCGTCTTGACGTTGCTCAAGCAAATATGTTTTATTCAAAATCGCATAATTAGCGTGTGTTTTTTCTGTTCATTTCCAACCGCTATTAGAGATCCGCCGTTAGTGCGCACTTTCGCTGACCTATAAACATCGAACTTGCAACTTGACAGATACGGTAGAAGTTTAACAATGATGTCATGTCAATTATTATCAGTTTAAATGTTAAGTTCCATTTCATTCAAAAGTTGCTACGCTATTTTTACTTACCGTCCTATCATGAGACAGTGAACCCTACCTTTTACCTTGCTACCATAGGAGTGGTCATAGCAGTACACATCGCCTGAGTGTTCTGCAGCAAAACAATCGCAACAAGCTTTAAACATATGTTGCATTTTAGCAGATTTCACCGCCCACTCTGCGAGTCCTTCAAAACTCGGTCAGTACTGCTGTGCAAAATAATCAATTTTCGGTTAATGTCGGTAAACTGGTCGATAAGCAAAACTGGTCAAATGATGAGTCGCTGCATGCAAGCAAGTATTGTTCCAGCTCTTGAAAAAATTTTAAATGGCATTTGAACTACAACTCTATCAAAAGCGTAGTTCAACCCTCGAATAAAGGATGCCATTTTTCGTGAATGGTGCGTTTCGCAATGTACAATTTTCCAAGACTTTAGAAAAATGGGCAGTCCATGACCACCGTATAGGCAAAATAGATTACAACTGATTCAGCGACTTAAATCTAGTCTAAAAGATTATTACTGTAAATCAGTGAACTACATCTACTTAACCATCTTGCAGAAGTAAGGTAAAATGTCGTCAAGTGTTTCCACAAGTTCAGAATAGCGAAAATCCCTATACATATGAAGACTAGCTGTGAAATGAGCGAATCTGATGAATCAGTGGAAAAAAATCTTTGATCCGTTAACAGTACTAAAAAATGAAGTGAGGGACTTACCCACTGGTGAGTCTAATCGAAAATTTTAAGAGAGGCTGGTGAACGACCTGTGACATGTTAGGATATAGGATGCAGACTGCCATTAAAAACGAGCAAGCTGCAGGATTTAAGTTTCGGAAGTCGCTCCCAGGAATAGTCGACATATTCGAATAATCATTTACTCAAGACATTAGTCTTGTGATTACTTTTGCTATTCTTTGCCAATAATGATAATGCATTTTAGAGGCACGTCGACATATCATCAGATTTATAAACAACTGCAAACCAATGCCGTTGCCTAGTCTTTGTTTTTTTAAGATTATTACCTCTGAATTGATTTTATTGGCAGAATGTCTTCAATTTGTGATGTTCATTGCATTCTAACGTTTTCCTGGTTTTACTATCAGGAGATTGTTAAAGCGGCTGAAATGCGGTTTCTGAGGCGAATCTCTGGGAACACGCTTCTCGACAAGTCCGGAGTACAGAGAGAGCCTTTGTGTACAGCCGTTGTTACTTCAGACTGGAAAGTTGCAGCTGCGACGATCTGAGTACGTCTTGCGAATTCTTTCATGTAGTAGAGCCATCCAAAATCCCCGTGGATTTCTCGCTGCTCAAGACACAGTTTTCGTCATCTTTAGTACAATGACACGAGTTTATACAAGAACTAAATTTACAACGAAACAGCAGCAGCTTTACGCAAAACATATTATGCAAGCATCAGAGATATTTAGAGAGATGCCGACGTCCGCTGTACATGGGTTCCAATATACGCAACAGAGTTTTTGTCAATTGCATTTTGTGTTCATATTACTGTGATAATCGCGTAATCACATCAAGTTAGATCCTCTCATTACTTTTTTAACTTGTCCATTTGTATATATCTTCCGTTTATATAGCTTAAAAATTGAGTTCATGATTTATGCAACAACAATTTTGCGCAGGCTTAAAACGACTTCTTCGAAAGGAGTTTCAAGAGAAATTGAGCACTAATTTTAGATTCAACTTTGTAGATATAATCTTAAATAAACCTTTATATTTGACTATTTAAATTGTTTAGTTCGTATGCGCAACCAGCGTCGAATCTGGAGCAAGACCGGAGACGATCTTGCGTCTCAAAGCGATGAACAATCAGTCGACATGTACAAGCCTGGAATAGCTATCGTATCATGTTTTTGGATAACTAGTTCGGTTTTAGCCCGTGAATACTTGAACGATTTAATACCAGCACAGTGTGGTGATTCTCTATTGGTATGTTCGCTTGCCACGGTATGAGAATGAGTATAGCAAGTCCAATAAGTATGGCTTCCTCTATTACACAGTAACATTGTGAGTTAATATATACTTACTGATATTATCAAAAACTCACCACCATGTTATAACAACACTGTTATTATACAAAAACTCTCAATATGCTATAAGAACAACCACGATGCCGGAACCGATACAGAGCTCGTCGTCCAGAATATGGATGTTGGATTACACCAGGTTTCACTTTATTCATAAGTCACTCACAACCAAGAGATACCAATTAGCTAAGGATCTTGCTCCTGACTTAACAATGGTCGCACACTTCCTGAATTTGAACAGAACTATCTAATTAATTAAATGAGAACGAAACCTACTTAAATCAACTGATATTTTTATAATTTGATAAAAATATAGTGCCTAGATTCCCTTCAAACTTCTGAAGACTACCTATTACTAGAAACGATATTGCGGTTACTTTAAGGAAAGTAGTTTATTAGCATAGTGACGGGTTTGTAATCTGCGACGTTAGTTCAAATGGCACGTATTTGTTAATAGTTCAAGCATGTAGTAGAAGAAGCCATGTTTAGCCGTTCACATGAATTTCTTCCTACCTGTTCACGTTGCTTTTCCTGTTCCAAGTGACTGCTTTGAATAATACATTTATTTTCTTTCAGCCCTCTCCGTCACGCAGCTGCACATACGTAGTATTAGAAACATCATTTCAATGAACAAAAAAAGTTATTTCTCATCAGAGATCTCTGATTGTGTTTATATGGAAGTTGTAACGCATTCTCGAAGCTAACGTGCTACTGATTTTTTTATGACATACTTGCAGATCTTTTACAATTAACTGTAACAAAGTTTGACGTAGTTAGCATACTGCTTGAAAGACATCGATGGTGCTGCGGCGCATGGTCGTCGATTGTGCACTTGACGGCTGTCTAGTGTTTTTTGGGACTGCAGTTGATGCTGATATGTTATCAACTATGCCATTGTTAATGTAGTCGCTTCGCCGTGTGATCTCTTTTGGAAAGGTAGGCGACTTTGTTTTGTAAGCATGGCAGCTTTTATACTAACTAAATTTGATTGTCATTGAAATGCAGACAACTTTCTGTCTATAAATGTTATGCATTTTAAAGTACTTTATGTTTTGCTTTACTTTTCGATTTTATGTTGAACTGCTTACGGTCGATTTTACTCGTAGTATATTCAGAGTTTATTGTCTGAGACTAAGATTACCTAGAATCTTGTTTTTCAGCGTCAATAAAGAAATATAAATCACATTAATCTACAGTCTAGATAACAGATAATTAAATAATTAATGGTCAAGTTAGCCGAACTTAAAATTAACGAATTATGAACAAGTTTCACGGAAGTTTGATGTTCTTCTAAAGGGTTTTTTCGTTGCTGCAAAAAGCAAGTTTTTGCAACGGCCATCTTCTCCGGCGTAAAATGAAGCCGGGTCTGTGTCTACGCGTTTAACACCCCAGTGAAAACCGCGACAGCACGAGAAACCTGATTTTCTTGAGAGCTCAATTGTGACCTGATGTGCGGCTGCTGATCCTTCATCGGGTGGTTCGTCTAGGTGGTTCTTAGGTTAGAACGCTTTGACGTCTAGGAGGAGGGTAGAAGGCCGTAATGGCAGCCATAAAACTATTATTTGAAGACGTATATACATGCTTAGAACTGGATATGCCTGTTCTAGGATGGATGTCACTTCGAAGCATTGCCTATGATTGATCATCAGAATTATAACAATACAATTTTTAATTCGTTGCAGGTGATCAATGACTCTTTCAGCTTTCAGCGTCATCACTGTAGGTCGAATGTGAAGTCATATTTGTATAAACCGAACGCATAAGCCTACGAAACTTGGATATTAGTATGTACAAAAGGGCACGGAGAGCTGGAATATTTAATTCGTGCATTGGAAGTCATACTAAAAAAATGACCAAAAACTGTTGTTAGAATGCATTGTTTCGAAAATTTGTACCGATTTACTACCAGCGTCTCCTGTAACTGCCATAATGATAAAGTTTCCCGTAAACTTACTGATGTAAATAAAT